TAAAATGTCCCACAGTCCCCACATTGTAAATTGCCAGATTGTAACTTCATATAACAATTTTTTAAATATATTTTATTGATTTTTTACAGAGAGGAAGGGAGAGAGAGAGTCAGAAACATCGATGAGAGAGAAACACCGATCAGCTGCCTCCTGCACACTCCCCACTGGGGATTTGCCCGAAACCCAGGTACATGTCCTTGACCGGAATCAACCCGGGACCCCTCAGTCCGCAGGCCGACGCTCTATCCACTGAGCCAAACCGGTTTCGGCCTTCATATGACAATGTAACTTGTTTTTCTAACCCCTGTGTTTACTGTAAACTGGAAGTTAGCTCTAAAGGCTTTTTTAGATGTAGCTTACTTCTTTTGTTGTGGTAAAGTATACATACATTTTCAGGTGTGCAATTCAGTGGCATTAAGTACATTCACAGCCCTCACCACCGTCCATCTCTTGAACCTTTTTACCACCCCAAACTGAAACTGTCCTCACTGAACTAGTTCTCCAGGACTCTCATCAACCTCTCATACAGCCACTCACTCATTCCCCTTTGTGCCCAGCAATCTGACTGTTCTAAGTGCCGTGTAAGCGGAACCTTACAAAGTTTGTGCCTCGTTTACTTCACGTAGCATCATGTTTTCAGGGCTCATCCGCGGGTAGCATGTACCATCAGAATTTCATTTCTTTTTAAGGCTGAACAGTATTCCATAGCGTGGCTTTGCCACATTTAGTTTATGAGATGAAATGAGGTTCTTTTGTTTCCCATCCAGTAGGAAGCAAGGCCAGCCCTCCTCAAAACTGGAAGCCCTCCCTGTGTGGCCCTCAGCACCTTCCTCCTCCTCCTCACCTTGACACTTCCCTCTCCGACCTTCAGGATGCCTGGGACCCCCTGTGGAGGAAGATGTGTTCCAGGGAAACAGGAAGATGAAATGCTTCTTCCCAAGCATGACTTGTCAGCTGCGGAATTTCAAGAGCGAAGCAGTGAGCTCTGGGTAGTTAGGTCAGCCTCCCCCTGCCAACCCCAAAAACCTGCCAAGGGACCTCCCCCTCATACAACTCCTCCTGCGGAAACACCCCCATACACACACCTCAGCTTCCCCAGGACCCTATCCCTGTGCCTCCCGGAGAGGGTGGACCGGAACACAGGTTCAGAGTTTGAGCCACCAGGCAGCCCGCGCTGCAGGGCTAGAATCAGCTAGAATCGGGGTTTCTTTTGGCTCAAGTGGCCCCTAAAGTGATATTGAAAAGCCGTGTGTGTGCCCCTTTGCACACATTGAAATGGACGTTTAAACCTTTTCATCTCAATGAAGCAATTGCAGGGTGATGTAATTTCCACCAACTTGCAAATATCAGCTTTTTTTTCCCTTTCTCTAATCCTTAGCCAAGGATATTTTCCCATTGATCTTCTGAGAGAGTAGAAGAGAGAGGGAAAGACAGAGAGAAACACATCGATTGGTTGCCAATCATATAAGGCCTGACCAGGGCCCCGGCCAGGGAGGACCCTGCAACCAAGGTACATGCCCTTGACAGGAATCGAACCCGGGACCCTTTGGTCTGCAGGCCGATGCTCTATCCACTGAGCCAAACTGCAGGCTGATGCTCTACCCACTGAGCCAAACTGGCCAGGGCTGTTGCTTTCCTTTTTTTTAAAAAAAAAATATATTTTATTGATTTTTTTACAGAGAGGAAGGGAAAGGGATAGAGAGTTAGAAACATCGATCAGCTGCCTCCTGCACACCCGCTACTGGGGATGTGCCCGCAACCAAGGTACATGCCCTTGACCGGAATTGAACCTGGGACCCTTCAGTAGTCCCAGGTTCGATGCTCTATTCACTGAACCAAACCGGTTAGGGCTGTTGCTTTCCTTTTGAAGTAGTTTCACTTTGGCTGCTGATCACATGCTCCCCTGAGGGGGTATCAGCTCAGCCCCTCAGGGAAGGGCCAGCCCTGCAGAGGGGCCCACCGCCTACCCAGTCAGCACCTCCAGGCCTCTCCAGGGGATTGCTGGCGGGGGAGGGGGGGGGCAGGGGGGGGAGGAGCCCCACAGGGAGAGCCCCTCCCTGGAAGGGAGTCCACCCCTTGGCTGGGCCTCCGGGGTTGGGTAGGAAAGTGAGTAACCTGGGCTGTTCACTTCTTACAGAGGTATTTTTTTTTTTCTTTTTTTCTCTTTGTTTAAAATGTTT